GTGTCCTTGCAGCGGCGCGGCGGGAGTGCCTGTCGGAGCACCTGCAGCTGCTGTTCCTGATGAGCCTGTCACGGCGACCGCCCCAGGCATAGGCAGTACAGCTGCCGCGGCAGCGGTGGAGGAGGGAGCCAGCCGCAGCTCCGGCGGCAGAGGTGGCTAGATCGGCAGCAGCAGCAGCAGCAGCAGCAGCAGCAGCGGCAGCAGCAGCAGCGGCAGCAGCAGCAGCAGCAGCAGCGTGGGCGATTGCCGTCCATTCGGAACTGCACGGGTGGCAGACGCCGTCGAGCTGGGAGGAGAGGGAAGAAGCGACGGAGGACGTCCTCCAGCGAGAGCTCTCGCACGCAACCCTCGCTGGAATTAGTGATCGCGCTCCTGCCCGGAGGAGTAAGTGCAGCAGCGGGTGGAGGGGCGAGGAGGGAGATGTGTGGATTATGGTGATGATGTTGATGATGCTGATGGTGGTGATGATGCTGATGGTAGTTGTGGTGGCAATTGTGGTGGTGGTGATGTTGCTGGTGACGGTGATGATGGTGAGGATGCTGAGAATAGGGATGAGGCTGAGGAAGACGAGGATGCGGATCAGGATGAGGTTGAGGGCGAAGAGGAAGATTGGGATACGGTTGAGGATGAACATGAGGAGGATGAGGATGTGGATGAGGAGAAGGAGGATGACGGCGAGGAGGCGGTGGAGGTGACGGAGGAAGCGAGAAGAGGAAGAGTTGGAGGAGGAGGAGAAGGACGACGATGATGACAAGAACGACAGGGAGTGGGGGAAGGAGCTTGAAGCAACATTCGCGTTGTCGGCGCCCCCTCCGAGTCCGCATCCCCTCCTGGCTGAGGTCCGCTCCGCGGGGTCAAGGCTCGAGTGTGTCAGACAATGCTTGACGCCTCGCGTATCCCCACCAGGTCCGTAGCCATTTGGCTCAAGCCGTCTCGGCTCGAGGTGGCTTGCGCGGCCTGGGTCCCGCGGCCTGGCGGGCGCGCCCGCGGGCCTCCAGCGGGTCTCGTCTCCTCTCTCCCCTCTCGGCCGCTGCCCCCGGGCGATGTTGTCCCCTGCGGCGGCGGTGGCGCCAGGCTGCCGCCGCTCGCGCTGCCCGCGTGGGCGTCCACGGCGCGGCGTGAGCGGCTTCGCCGCGCGGCCGCTCGCGCCCCTGGCGTGGCTCTGGCCGGCGCCGCGGCGCCGCCGCCCTGCCTGCCGCTGCCCCCGGCCGCCACCCGCGCCGCCGGAGCCGCGCGGCCGCGGCCCCGGGCTCCGCGTGGCCGGCCGCCTTCCCCGCCGCGGCCGCCGGCGCCGCGGCCGCGGGCGCTGGCCCCGCCGTGGGCGCCGCTGCCGCCTCGGCCGCCTCTGACGCGGCTGCCGCCGCCGCGGCCCACTGCTCGCTTGGCGCCGCGGCCGCCGTGGCCCGCGCGGCCGCCCTTGGGCCGGCCGCTGCCCGCGCCGCGGCCGGTGGCGCTGCGGCCGCCGTCGCGGCCGCTCGCGCGGCGGCCGACGCCGCGGCCGCGGCGGCTGCCAGCTCGGCCGCCGGCGCCGCCAGCGTGGTGGCGCGCCGCCGCCGCTTTGGCTGCCCCCGCCGCGGCGGCGGCGGCCGCCCCGGCACGGCCCCCGTGGGCGCCGGGCCGCTGCCGGTGCCGGTCCGTCGGCGCCGGCTGACCTGCTGGCGGCCCCGTGCGCCCCCGACGCCGCCGCCCCTTCTCTGCTCGCCGCGCTCGCCGCCGCGGCCGCCGCCGCGGCCTCCTCGCGTGTGCCGCCGGCGGCGGCCGCCGCTGCCGGCGCCACGGCCGCCCTGGCGCTGGCCCCGGCCTTGGCTCGGGCTGCGTTGGCCGCCGCCCCCGCCGCCGCCGCTGGCTGCTGCCGCTGCCGCTGTTGCCGCCGGCTCCTCGCCCGCGGCGGCGGCGGCGGATGGCGCGTTGGCCGGCGCCGCCGCGGCGACGCGAGGCCTGCCCCGCGGCCCGCCCCACGGCGAGCCCGACGGCCGGGCCCGCGGCCAGCCCGATTGCCAGCCCCGCGGCCTGCCCGAGTGCCAGCCGCACAGCCAGCCTGACGGTCAGCCCCACGGCCTGCTTGGGTGCACGCCCGACGGCCCGCCTGCCGGCCTGCCCGACGGCCCGCCCCGCGGCCAGCCTGACTGCCAGCCCCGCGGCCACGGCCACGGCCACGGCCACTGCCACTGCCACGGCCACGGCCACGGCCACGGCCACGGCCACGGCCACGGCCACGGCCACGGCCACGGCCGCGGCCGGCCCCACGGCCTGCCCTACTGGCAGTGCGGCCGCACAGGGCGTCGTCAGCCGCAGCGCGCCGGTTCCCCCCTCTCCTGGAGGAAGGCAGGCGGACCCCAATTGTGCTCCTCACTCCTATCAGCACCCCGGGGCAGCGTCGTTGTGGAGACAGGAGATGCGACCCGAAGCGCGCCCCCTCTTGGAGACAGGACCGCGGCGACAATTGGGGGCGCTGCAGAGGGCGCGCCTGCGCTCGGAGACGCTCCTCACAATTCTGACAGTCAGGAAGATGTTGCCGAAAGCGCGGCCTTCAGCTGCAAAATGAACGCGCCCCCTCCTGGAGGCAGCATGGCGGCGATAGTTGGCAGCGCTGCGGAGGGCGAGCCCGCGCTCGGATAAGTTCCTCACAGTTCTGACCGGCAGGGAGATGTGTCCGAAAGTGCGGCCTTCAGCTGCAAGAGGAACGCGCCCCCTCCTGGAGACAGCATCGCGGCGGTAGTTCGCAGCGCCGCGGAGGGCGCGCCCGCGCTCGGAGACGTTCCTCGCAATTCGGACAGTCAGGCAGATGCATCCGAAAGTGCGGCCTTCAACAGCAGCAGGAACGCGCCCCCTCCTGGAGACAGCATCGCGGCGATAGTTGGCAGCGCTGCAGAGGGCGCGCCCTCGCTCGGAGACGTTCCTCACAATTCTGACAGTCAGGAAGATGTTTCCGAAAGTACGGCCGGCCTTCAGCCGCAAAAGGAACGCGCCCCCTGCTGGAGGCAGCACGGCGGCGATCGTTGGCAGCGCTTGCGGAGGGCGCGCCCGCGCTCGGCGAAGTTCCTTACAATTCTGACAGTCAGGAAGATGCATCCGAAAGTGCGGCCTTCAGCTGCAAAAGGAACGCGCCCCCTCCTGGAGACAGCATCGCAGCGATCGTTGGCAGCGCTGCGGAGGGCGCGCCCGCGCTCGGAGACGTTCCTCACAATTCTGACAGTCAGGAATATGCATCCGAAAGTGCGGGGTTCGGCTGCAAGAGTCCTCTGGTAGAGCTCGAGACTGATCAGGTGGTCGTTTGCCACGGCGCGTCGGACGCGCCCCCTCATGGAGACCGGCAGGCGGACCCCCGTAGCGCTCCTCACTCCCATCGGCGCCCCTGGAGCAGCTTCGCGGAGGAACCCATCAGCGGGTCGCCCCCCCCCCCCCCCCCCCCCCCCTCCTGGAGATAGGCAAACCAGCGCCCCTACAACTCCCCGCTCCTATCTGCGCCCCGGGGGCAGGGCTTTGGCGGAGGCCGAGAATGCGCCCGATAGCGCGCCCAATCTTGGCAACTGCCTCGCGGCGACAGTAGGGGGCGCTGCAGAGGGCGCGCCCGCGTTCGGAGATCTTCCTCGCAAAATAGATAGTCAGGAGATCACATCGGAACGCGCAGCCCCCAGCTGCAGCAGTCCTCTGGGAGAGCTACAGGCTGAACAGGAGGTCGTTCGCAGCAGCGCGTCGGCCCCTCCCCGTCCCGGAGACAGGCAGGCAGGCGTTCCCGCAGCCCCTCACTCCTGTCGGCGCCCCTTGGGCAGCGTCGCTGTGTAGGCGTAAGGTGCGGCCGACATGATGCCCCGCCCAGGCAGCGGCATCGCGGCGACAGTTGGGAGCGCCGCAGTGGGCGCGCCCGCGTTTGGAGACGTCTCCCGCAAAGTTGAGAGCCAGGAGATCATGGCGGAACGTGAAGCCTTCAGCTGCAGCAGTCCTCTTGGAGAGCCACAGGCTAAAAAGGTGGTCGTTCGCAGCAGCGCGCCGGCCCGCCCCCCTCCTGGGGATAAACAAGCAGGCGTTCCTACAGCTCCTCACTCTCGCCAGCGCCCCTTGGGCAATGTCGCTGTAGAGGCGGAAGATGCGAGCGACGGCGCGCCCCCTCCTGGCAACGATATCGCGGCGACAGTTGGGAGTGCTCCAGAGGGCGCGCCCGCGTTCGGAAACCTTCCTCACAAGATAGATCGCCGGGAGTTCGCGTCGGAACGCGCAGCCTTCAGCTGCAACAGTCCCATGGGAAGTCTACAGGCGGTCGTCTGCCACAGCGCGCCAGTCCTTTCCCCCTCCTGGAGATAGGGGGGCTGGCTTTTCCTACAGCCCCTCACTCCTATCAGAGTCTTGGTGGAGGCTGAAGATGCGCCCGAAATGACGCCCACTCCTGGCAAGAATATCGCGGCGGCAGTTCGGAACGCTGCAGAGGGCGCGCCCGAAAACGGAGACCCGCCACGCGCAATAGAAAGTCAGGAGGTCGCGCATCCAAGAGCGGCCGTCAGTCGCTACAGTTCTCGCGTCGCGGGTGTGAACGACGGTGTGACTGACAGTGGCCCAGGGCATTCACGACTGGAGGGCTCGCCTGACTCGTGGATGTGCGCGCCGGCCACAGACGGGCGCGTCTGCGCGATCGGCGCAGACGCTCCGACCGACGCCTCCGAGGCCATCCCCGTGGCCGACGGCCGATGCGGAGCCCGCTGCCTGGAGAGCCTGGGGCTGTCGTTGACCTAGTCGAGGGCGAGACCCAGCGACCCCCCGCTTCGACTCTGCCCGCCGCCGCCCCCGGCGCCTTCGAAGACCCCTCGCTGGGGGGCAACGGACCAGCCCTGCAGAGGCAGGACATCGATCCCACCCGCACTCCCTCTCGAAGCCCGGGCCTCGCCGGGGAAGGCGACTTACGTCCCAGCGAAAGAAGCGGTGTCTGAGAACGTTCCTGCGCCCGGCGCGACCCACAGCACCCCCGCATCTGGCGATAGTCTCGCGGCGACAGATGGGGGCGCGCCCGGGAACGAGGGCGGGCGCCGGTCCGAAGGCGAACGCCAGCGAGAGGGGCTCGCCCCCGCATGCCACAGTGCAGCGCTCCTCTCTGCCCCAG